TTTTTTTTTTTTTTTTTTTTTTGAAAAAAAACTTCTCAATTTTGATGCTTAATTATTCCATCATCAATGGCGAAACCTGCTATAGCAAGATTCAACTCCTCGCAAAATGTGTTGTTGAGGTTACTAGTGCTTTCTTTAGTACTACCACCTTGCTGGATCAACAAGAGAGTAAATCGGCTCATGACTTGTGGAGTAGTATTCGTTCTCATCTTCTACCCTTTCCTTTTTCATCTTGTTCCTCTTTCCAACCATTGTTTCCTCAATCACGTGGCATCTTTGGTGAGTATTGCTCAACATTTTGATAGTATTCATTTTCTGTTTCAAACTTTGGTATCAGAATGGAGTCATATTTGTTATGGAAGTCTAAGGACATGCTTAGAAGTTTCTTATGTTAAGTAGACCTTGTTTTACTCCCTTGTTCCCTATCAAATGAAGTGACAGATCTTCGTCCACTGACATCCAGAGATGGTTTTCTACCAATCATTGTATAGCACATGTTACATAACAAAGAAAAAGAGGATGCTGGAAAGATAACTGCAGTTCCTTTGTTGATGTTCTTTTAAGTTCTAAGCAAGGAAATTTATCAAAATGGTCAATCACAAAGTCTTTCCTTCTTTTCAAATTAAGCATTGAATATAAGAAAGTAATTCTTTCTTTTCTTGTAAATGAATGGGAAAAATGAAGTTTTCTCTTAAAGACATGGGTACAAATACCAGCTCAGAAAATTTAAAATAATCTCGCTGATCTTTCGGCTTGACTTTCACAAAGTTTGTGCAGAATGTTATGAACGAAAATATTGCATCGAGTTTATAAATGAAAATTTAAAATGATAACGTAAATTGTGAATATATTGAAAAGCTATTTACATACTCTTTTTATTTCATGATGCATTGAGTTGAGACAGTAAGTAACCTCGGGTTGATGATATAATAGCATTTCAGGGCTTGGCTACTTGCTTACCAAAAATATCCTAATTTCATTGCCACTATCTTTGACTGAAACTGCTGCACGCAGAAGCAATAGAATAAATATATCCAAATAAATGCACTAGCATTTTGAGTTTTGACCACAGTTAATTATTCATTTGAAAGATGAAGCTCGAGATCATGGCAGATTGGCAATGCTGCGGTTGATATTTTGGCCCCTTTTAGCTCTGCCAGTTCCAGAAGAGGTTTTGGATGCTGGAGCAATTCATTTTATATCCACCCTTAGATCTTAGCCCATTACACTTGCTTAATCTTGCTTTGTTAAGAAAAAGTTGAACTTGACAACCTCAAAAACTAGCTCAGCTCATGTGATCATACAAGGAGGCACCACAATATTCTCTTAACCAATTTGAGACCGTTTGCACCCTTTTTTACCTCTAGGACTGAATATCTAAAGCGTGGATAATATAGTATGGAGCCTAACATCGGGTAAACTAAGAATTGGAAAGAGAGGCTGATACCATGTCAATGAAAAGAATGCAAGTTGGGCTTAACCTCAAAAACTAGATCATCATGCAAATTACTGCAAATTAACTCTCGAGTCTTGTGAGTCAGTCTTAATTCTTTACATCATATTATTCCATTGAAAATTCAGCTAGTCGATCGTCTTTCGAGCTAGTTAACTCATATCTGAAGCTTTGTTTCATGTCAAATCATAACAATTCAAGCTAACAAGTACCTTTTCATGAAAAGAACACCGTCATTCAGAAAGGTGTTAGAGTAACGTCGAATGTATAACCAATCTATTGTAAAATTTGCTAATTAAAACACCAGTAGAAGGCACATGGCAACGTATTCTTATATTACGTATGTGTACATGAAAGGCTCCATCCGGATTCTCACACACACATATATATACATTTTATTTTATTTTTGATTTTTCACTTGGTGTTTGGTAGTTACGATAAGATTGAGTTGCTCTAGTAGTGAGCACCCTCCACTTTCAACTAAGAGGTTGTGAGTTCGAGTCACTCCAAGAGCAAGGTGGAGAGTTCTTGGAGGGAGTGAGCCGAGGGTCTATCGGAAACAACCTCTCTACCCCAGGGTAAGAGTAAGGTCTGCGTACATATTACCCTCCCCAAACCCCACTAGTGATCTCAAACTAATCTGATTTCGCATTGAGTCAAGTCTTAAACACTTCTTACTAGAATTTTTTCCTCTCAAAGCTAGAATCGGAGATCATTAGTTAAAGGAAAATGGATTCTGTCCATCTCACCACAACGTTGGTGGTAACATATTTCATATATTACTCATATATTACGTATGCACGAAAGGCCCTATTCTGAAAGGTGTATTTTAAGACTCCCAACTTGGGAGAGTTGGAGTAGTCAAGGGGCACATGGCTTGCATCGACAAACATTTAAGTTCAGAGCACACGTTCATGTACATAAATGCGATGCACCTCTTTTTATAATTCCACATTTTTCTCCGCAAATATTTCCTAGAAAATGCGGTAGCATAACTTAAACGACATGTATGGTATCTGAACAGGATCATTCAAAACACCATGTCCCTCTTTGGTATTTGTTCCGCTAATATATACTTCATTCGTTCACTTTTACTTAATACATTTTGACTTTTCACGTCCCTTAAGAAATAATAATTAAAGTATATAATTTACCATGATACTCATATTAATTGATGTATATTTTATTGGATTTGAGAAAATGATTTGAAATGAGAAATAAATATGGTGGGTATAACAGGAAAAAAAATTATTTTCTTTTGATATGCGTAAAATGACAAGTAAAAATAAAAATTTATTTTTAGTATACATGTCAAGTAAAAGTGAACGGAGAGAGTATTATATTATAGAAACTATATGATATCACTAAAATCCATGTGGTTACAAAGGAGTAAATACGACCTCCCCCCCTAAAAACAAGGGCAGCCCCATGCCCCCGGTACATAAGTATCATACCGTTGAAGGATCTGAGAATGGGCCGCACTCCAGGAACATGCAATGAAGTAATTTATTCCGACACAAGTATTAATAGCTGATTTCATTACTTATACACTTGGCATACGGAGATAATAACTTTATTGTTGCTTAGGACCAAATCTCCTCCAGCTTTTGCCATTTAGAATCCAGCAAGTTGAAAATTCATTCATAGCTCAAAAGAAACAAAGGAATAACATTTGCAGGGGGCGTATACAAGAAATTTTGTAAGCGGTATCGAAATTTATAAAAGAACAGGAATAATAATTATTATACTTCTAGACAAAAAATAGTCTTAGTCTATTGGTTTTGTTGAATTTCAATTTAGAAAGGGTCTTGAGTTCAATTCTACTTTACCACAATTTTTAACCATACAGACTCTCTCAAATATTTACCAAAAAAAAAAAATGCTAGTTAAGGTTCAAACCTCTTATCTCTTAAATACAACCAACACACCAAGAGACAATTAATTATGTCAAATAGTGTCATTTTTCCTACTTATCTGTTTTCTTACAATATTAATACATATATTTAATAAATAATTTTGACTAAGCAGTGTCGTGTAATACCGCTTCGTTAAGCGTGCATCCGCCACCGAACATTTGGCAGCTTCTTTATTATTCTTTTTTTAAAATGTCATGGTAAAAAGTAAAAACTGCGACAGGCCATAACTCTATCGTATATCTTTTAGGTGTAAGATTTTATTCCACTAAAAGTCTTACCTAGTAACTTCTCCTTTTATGCATCACTATTGAATATATGATTTATCGTCAATCTATCTATATCTATCTATACTATATTAAAAGTACAATAACGTTCGTCTCTTTTACCCTTAAAAATATATTATACATTAGACAAAATAGTAATTTAATTATTTTTCTAATTTTTAAAACTTTAAAATTAACTAAAATTTTGATTATTAAATCCTTCCTTATTTAAAATATGTATCTCTTTGTATAAAAATATTAAATGCATTAAATCTCCTTTTATAAATAAACTACTTATATTTAGGAATTTGGGATCATTAATGAATTTACCACAAAGAAAGTTCAACAGTACTGTCTTTATGAATGGAAACAAGTTTAAAGCCTACGTTCACCAAGGTATGGCTTCTAAAAATCCTACCAAATCTGGTGGCTTTGTGTTCACCTAAATACAAAATTCACGAAAGGAAATTTTTTCTTTTTCCATTGATTCCACCAAATGATTCAATGTAGTTTTTCATATATTAAGTTATTTGTATTAATTGATAAATCTTTGAGAAATTGTGATAAAAGTACATCGAGTAACAAAATATCCATAATTTTAGATTTAATATTAGGCCACACAAATAATATCATTTTTCAAAAGATATATTTAAATAATATTCTTTTTAAATTCACGTGAAATCGATATATCAAACCCATATGTAAAGTGGAACGGCCCAATAACGTAATCGGAGGCACCAAAATCGGAAGTCCAAAATCGTCACTATTTAATTTTGAACTTAATTAGAACAATAAATGAACATATAAATTGCACGTCAATTGGTAATTGTATACTCATTATCATCGTTTGCCCAAAATTATCATTTAAGTTTTCCCTTATATTTCGAAGTTTTTAATTAATTATATTTTTTGCATTAAATCCTTCACTATTTGAATTGTATATAAATTTTTAATATTAGATATATTATATGAATTCTTTGCTTATTTAAATTATGTAAACTTTATTTTATAACTTAAATATAATTTTAATATAATATTTATATAATTATTTTAAATATATTAATTCATTGAGATTGGGTACACG